TGTTCCAATATATGTTTCCTATAGATTTTGTTTACACTTCTGCATTCTCTCTTTATATTCAATTTACGCTATCTTTTTTACTAGAATAATAGAATGTGATGACAAATTGACTACTGAAATTGCGCGGTAATCATTTTTGTAATTATTTAAATTTTATTACATTCTATTTATATTATAATTAAATTGTATAACATTTTATTTATATTACAGTTATATAAATAACTAAGGTCCCCACTCTATAACTTTTAACGATAGTATTGGTATCATTATATTACAGTTGCGCAGCTTTTTTATCATATATAAGCTTTTTATCATATATAAAACCTGTACAATGATAATGTAACTATTACTTATTTGACAGTGTTATTAAAATTTGTAGAATAAGGGCCTCAATCTTCATCTTTACAAGCAATCTGTTGTCAGATTATATCGATAAAATTTGTGAAAAATACGAATTCAATATGCAGAAAATATTAGAAAATATATATATTAAATAAAAAATATTAGGAAATGTACCATCCTAGAAAATAAAAGTCGAAGCGTAATAAAAGTCGAAAATAAACAGAAGCATAACAAAATGTCAAGGAAGGATCTGCTGTTGAATTATATTGGAAAAATTTATTCGCAGAAAACGAGTAATATCAAAACATGTAAGCTGCTGCTAATATTATATTCGAATTTGTTAGCTAGCTGCTAGCACACTGCTAATATTTTGTTTACTCGATAATTATCAAATTGAATTCAAAGATGGTATTTTTGTAACTGGAAGCACCCATGTCATGACAAAACTTCTTAAAGTGACAGAATGACATACAACACGTTTACGTTTATTACATATCAATGTAATAAAAAATTTTATTTATTTTAATTTGTTGCTTTTAGTTGTAGATATGTATTGTGTATTGCATGATGTATTGTAATATATAATTTTACATAATGATATTATCTATGTGTATACAATGTCATTTTTTCGAGTTTTTCTTTTAATAGTTATATTTTATGTATTACTCTCCACCATTACTCGTAGGACAGACAAATACGAGAGTGAACTTTTTAATATGGCCATATAAGTCTTAATATTTACAACGAAAAATCTGCCAGCTAAAAGTTGAATTGGCTGCTGTGATCGTGCGATGACAAACAAAACATTTCTCATCAATCTTGTTGGCAAATAGTACCAATTGGAGCTGTAGATCGAGCATGCGACTTCTTCCATTTGACATTTTAAATAATCGCCCACGAAACTATAAAAGAACATTTGTAATAGCAGAGCACTCATCACTGTGGCAGTTTTAGTTAACATCAGTACGTCATGTGATTTCAATGCCAAGATAAACTGAAAACCTGAAAAACAAATTACATAGTTTGCACAAGTTAACTCTCTGGCATTACTACTACAAGAATTTTGCTAGCTTTGTTCGATATTTTTATTAAAATTTTTATTAAAATATCACCGGATTAGATTAAGAAATATTCTACTTTCTCGGACATTTGACAAGATTTTATAATAGTTTTACATCTTTTTCTACAAAAAGATTTACACAATATTCTAGCAGAATATAATGCCCATTTTTAATATAATAATAATAGTAGAGGTATTGAATTCAAGAGAGATATTTACCAACCAAACTGAAAATAAGACAGCTACTCATGACTTGAACGAGCAAAACAAAACTTATTACATCGGCCAAAAGTTCTGCATGTTTTATTAGATAACAATGTCTTAATGCCATTGTTGAAAAATCTTCATTTATGTTTTTGTTTTTCATGTCGCAATTAATAAATTCGATTTTTAGAAGTTCCAATTGACCACAAATATGGAGAGCAATTCCGAGGAAAAGTGAATCATTGCCTTTGTAAATATATTACAATATTATATTAAATAGAGAGAGTTCATATTAAAAATTCTAATTAAAGATTATTAGTTAATATGAAACGACCGCCCATTTGACGCCTATCGGCAGCACATCGAACGCTCTAAGAACGTCCAATGATTGGTTGCACCAATGATCGCTCATTTGATGCCCATTTGACATCCATTTGGTGCCCATTTGACGTCCATTTGGCACCAATTTGACGTCCATCACGGATGCTAAATGGATGTCAAATAAGCGTCAAATAGACGCTCACTGGGCACTAAATGGGCGTAATTCTGCACAGCACAGAAAGATTACACAATTATTTTATTGCAAAATTGCAACATTACAAAAACATTGTGAAATGTTGTTGCAGTTTTGCTATAACATTGCAGAAACGGTAAAATATTCGTCTTTGAAATGTTGCAACACAATATGGCAATAATATTACAATACAATATTACAATACGTTCAGTGTTTCCAATGTTACTTTAAATGCCATTATATTAACAAATTTTGGTACATATAATTTGCAGAAATATCATATGTCTCCAAATTAAATTTTACAAATTAAATTTTACAAACAAAATAAAAAATTATACGCTTAAAATATATCTCATTTTTGGTTTTTAAAAATAATTTTGGAAGTTTACTCTTTCAAGAAATCATTTCATTAGAATGAAAAGTCTTTATGGGTGAAAATTCTCATAACGCTTTTTATTCTATTTTGTGTGATTTTTTTTTAATTACGAAAAGTAGAACTTCTCTTTGCCCAACTAATAGTGGTGCTGCACATAGCCAAAATATAAGATTAGATAGATAACAGGATTTTTCATATTTTTAAAATGTTATTATAACAATGCTAAATAATATTGCAAAAAAATATTTTTACGTTATCTGAAACATTGTACTGCAATATGTAATCTTGAAGCGTCGTAGCTATATTGTAACCTTTTACAGTACTGTAAGAAAATAGTTAATAAAATTATTGAAAGTAAAATTGTAAAAATTTAGAACTTTATAAATAAATTCTATGATTATAGATAAACACTTAAATTATTATTATAATATTAAATTATTATATTACATGTAATTCTCTTTGGATATTAAACATATACCACTATATTACCACAATTGCTGGTGGAAGTGAGCATCAGTATGGTGTATTGTAATGTAGAGATGACGAAATATAAACTGGAAGGAATATGCAAGTCCCCTAAAAATGTTAAGGGCATGGGTAACTCCGATGCTTGAGTTTTGCTGACATCATCAACTTGAATATCCTTATTGCCTGCTATCATAGGCGTCAGCATAAAGATTGATGAAGCCAAATAAGCAAAAAATAAAGTACTATAACAAATTATTCTTCCCATGAATGCGTGCCGCCGCATGATCGTACGCTTCTCTTCGGTGTCGATTGTGGAATAATCGTTCACAGCAGAAGAATAATTACGAATCAGATTGTCGGCATATAAGCGGAAGGATAACAGTTTTAATATAGCAAGAATGATGCAGGATATGACCATAAGAGTATCAATTTTTACATATGCGTCACCGTTACCGAAATTGATTTCGAGCAACATTGTGATTAACATCACACTCTACACAGATAGGAAGGATGGATTCCGTATATTAGGAAGCATAATTCTTGTTTTTTGTTCTCACTAAACATTTCATTTGAATTGTCAAATTTGATATAACGAAAATACAAGTCACATTGGTATAGAAATATGTAATAGAAAAATTAAGAACATACCAAGCTGAAGCCGCACACTATAGAACGGACTAAAGAAAATGTATTATATTTTTGCAAAGGCCAAACGCCTAATGGTAAAGTTAAGAATTTGTAGAGAGTCATAGCATATGCCATATCATCATTCCATGACATTATCGCAGTCGCATAGAACTACACGATTCTCAATGTCAGTCTTTGTCCATAATGTGAGTCGATCATCGACGTGTCGCTCTTTTACATTCATATTTTATTAAAGTTGCACAATTTAACATTTTACTAAAGTACTCTGTCATTTTCCAAAACACAGTTACTTTAGAAACTGAACGAAACAGTTTTTTATGTAGAAGTAGAGTGGAAAAAGATCGAATTGAGGGAGACTTATTTTTTTTTTCCAGTATTTTATCTGTCATTGATGTATCCAGTATTTTATCTGTCATGTTACAACATCCTTTATTCTAATACCAAATTTTTATTCAAAAACATATAGAATTAATGTAGAATTTAGTACATCAACTTTTTACAATTAGACAACAGTATTATCGATGTCAACAATTATATCTGTTCGTTATTTACTCAGATAACCGAATTGATTGAAAGTCAATTTTGTAAAATGTCTGTTACAAATTTTCTTGACAGAGAATGTTAACAGAAAATAACAGAATGTATTATTACTGTTATTATAGTGAAAGTAAAAATTGGAGCACAATTCGAATTTAAAAAGAGTGACAGAATATTATAAATGGAAACAGTTAAAAACAATGATAAATTAAGATATAAACGTTTCTTTTTTGCTTCGCTTTTTAATTTTAAGATTTTTAAGTTTAAGTTTTTTAATTAAAACGCTTTCAGGAAGTATACGTTCTGACATTTTTTTTTTATTGTATATTCAACATATACTTCGATTTTTCTCTAAAATAACAGAATATGATGACAGATTGATTGCAAAAAACTAACAATATTTACTATATATTTGATAACTATTTAACTGATATTTAAATAGTTATTAAATGATAAATTTTTTATTTTTCAATCTGTTATCGGATTATATTAGTAAAATGGTGCCAGAATGAATTTAATACAAACGTCGATGATGATAATCTATTCTACTCGAATATATTATCAAATTGATAGTATTATATATTGTAAATATTTTGCTTATTCAATAGTTATTAAATTGCATGCAATGATTATATTTTCGCAATCGCAAGGCACGTGCCGTTACAAAATCGTCTTAAAATGAGTGATGCACAACATATGATGATTTACTAATGCAATAAAAAAACTTACATTATTTATTTTAATTTGATTATTTAATTCTAGACATATCCTGAAATAATTTTACAAATGATTTTGTCTACGTGTGTACGATATTACTTCTTCGAGCTATTGTCTCTGAAGTTACTTGCGCCCTACGTTTCCATCATCACTCGTAGGACGGACAAGTATGAGAGCGAGCTTTTCAATATTATCATGTAAGTCTTAATATTTACGACAAAAAATCTACCAGCTAGCAATTGAACAGGTTGCTGCGATCGCATAATTACTAACAAAACGTTCCTCATCAATTTATTTGGCAAGTAATACCAGTTGGAGATGTAAATTGAATGAGCGATTTGTTCCATTTGACATTTCATATAATCGCCCACAAAACTGTAAAAGAATAATTGTAACAGTAGAGTACTCATCACTGTAATAGTTTTAGTTATCATTACTGCATCATGCGATTTTAATGCCAAGATAAATCGAAAACCTGAAAAACACGATTACACAACATACAAGTCATCATTCTTTATTATTAGGCATTACTGCCACAAGAATTTTGCTAGTTTATTCAATAATTTTGTTATGTTATTGAAATATTAGTAAATTGGATTAGAAAATGTTTTACTGACAGAGAGCATAACTGATCCATTTGAACTTGAAAAGAATTCATTTTCTTGACTTCTTTATGAATTAGCGTAATTTGTTAGAAATGAACTTAAGAAGAATTCCTCTCTATGACAATTAATAAAGGATTCCATAAAAGTTCTTTTTACAGAGTTAAATTTAAATTAAAGAAATCCTTTTTCTGTTCGGAATGAAGAGAAAAAAATTCATTTTTGGCTTGATTATAATATATATAAATATACCTGTACAACATTATTCCCGCTACAAATTTTGATCTGCTGCCATTAGAATTGTACCGTACCTGAGTGATTGCTGCGAGCATAATAGAAAATATAAATTAATAAAAATATGTGCTGCGACAAAATATATGACAATACAAAGAAACATATAATATATATATTTTTAACAACTGATTTATATTTTAAAATATTTTTTTTGTTAACCCTAGTATAATATTCATGAGTTTAACATATCCTATGCGATTTTGCTGTAACTTATTTATAATTTGAAGATTGAGGCTGAAAAAATTTTTAACTATCCATAGATATAATAAGTGCAAAGGTATTTTTTTACGTTATTCTCGACGTGAGAATGCATGAAAATTTAAAGAAGGATCCCCCCTCCACACACACACACACACAAAACACACACACACACACACATACACACATATGATTAGCTTGTAAGTTTTCGGCGTTCTGGATACTCGTTTATTTTTTATTCAATACGTTTATTGAGTTTTGGATAGTATAAAAGTAAGTACACGAAAATGTAGAAACACACACACACACGCGCACACACACACACCACACACCACACACATACACACACACACACACACACACATATGATTAGCTTGTAAGTTTCGGCGTTCTGGGTACTTCTTTATTTTTTATTCAATACGTTTATTGAGTTTTGGATAGTATAAAAGTAAGTACACGAAAATGTAGAACTAAAAAAAATTATATTTCAATAACAAATAGTAGAAATTTTATAATTTCTGTTAGTTTTTGTAGATCGTTTGGCCTGGGCAGATTTGTCGCTTTAGAGCAAGTGTTGCATCATCCTGTATACTAAATCCTAATAAACTAAATTATACATACTATAATTATATTTTTATACATGTACAATCTTTTATTTACTTATATTATTACTCTTTTATATAGTTCAAATAATAAAATTTTATTTATTAATTGTATACTTAAAATATGTATATTTTCTTCACAAAAATGTCGATTTTCGATAGTACAAATAATTATACTTTCTTGAGCGATTCATATCATACTATTTTTTTTTGTTAGTCCAAAGGTCAACTAAAAAAAATTCTATAAGTGTGTGTGTTTTTCTTAACCGTTAAATTAAAAAATTTGAGAATTTTTTATCCAAAGTTACTTTTTTTTCGAATTTTTCAAATAAAATTTTTTGAAGCATTGCAATTAATTGAAAATAAAATATTATTTATTTGATTCATATTTATCTGTCTTGGTTTGACTTCAAGGTATAAATTTCACCCGTTTTAAGCTAAAAAATACGTATTCAGTCCAGAGATGTAGCGCGACAAAGTTGCAGGGTTTCACAAACACTGATGTTATAAGGAAATTAACCAAAAATAACAAATATCATACTAAGGTTAAAACATTTTGGTCGCAATATATTATATATTTTAATTTTTATTCCATATTTCGTAGCATTCCAATAATCCCAATCTATTTAACTTTCTGATTCCAGAAAGAGCATAAAATAAATATCTCTAGAACTTCATTAGAATACTATTTAAAAGTTATTTTATTGCGAATTTATTTTAAAAAAATGCTTTTTAAATCCGAAAAAAACTTGCAATTGTTGACATAAAAATGAATTCCTTTGAGACACTTACAAATACTTTTCGAATAGAAATTGAAGAAAAATAATTTATTTTGTAAACCAGTAATGAAAAAAAAAATTCTTTTTTGATTCTCTGCTATCTGGGAGTATATAAGGTTTCTTTTTAGTGTGCTGATTTACAATATTCTAGCGGTGTAATGCTTGTTTTATATAATAACAGGGTACATATTATGAAATAGATCGGAATAATTCTGAATTCCTTGCAAAATACAATAGAAATTTAAGCAATAACTCCATTGGAATCTATTCATTCGGAATAATTCCATAATACGTATCCTGAAAAATATTTAATTCTGAGATATTTACCAATCAAACTAATAATAGAACAACTGAACAGTACTTGTACGAGCAAGACGATACTTATTACATCGGACAAAAGTTCCGCAAGCTCTATTAAATAACAATGTCTTAGTGTCAATATTGAAAAATATTCATTTATGTTTTTGCTTTTCACGCCATAGTTAGTAAACTTGATTTTTAGAAGTTCCAGTTGACCGCAAACGTGGAGAGTGATTGCGAGAAAAAGTGAATCATTACCTTTATAATTATATTTCAATGTTGTATTAAAATATTTTACATTGAAAATTTTTAATTATAATAGAAAAATTATTATTTAAGATCTTTTGAAAAAGTGATTCGAAAGAAATATAAATGATATTACGTGTAGCAATTATAGGAAATACAACTACGATATTTATTAAAAATAATGTCTATTAAAAAGAATTTGGAAGTTCAATGCATATGTGTGTGTATGTAATAAATAAAAGTGAAGTTTCAATTAGATATCAAGTTTAATTTAAATGTCAATAGTAAATAAAATTACTGAAATGAAAGTTAAACATTTTAGAAATTTTATTAATAAATTTTATGAAAATGTTTAAAATAAATTCGTATTCTATACAAAATAAATTCATATTCGCATACAAATCTCTTTGATATTAACAGTTAGCTTATTACCACAATTGCTGGTACCAGTAAGCAGCAGTATAAAATATTGCACCGTAGAGATTACGAAATATAAACCTGTAGGTATTTGCAAATCCCCTAAAAATGTTATGGGAACTGGTAATTTTGCTGCTTGATTTTTAATGGATACATTAATATGGATATCCTCATCGCCTGTCATCATAGGTGCCAGCGTAAAAATTGATGAAGCTAAATAAGCAAAAAATATGATACTGTAGCAAATCATTCTTCCCATAAATGCATGCTGCCGCATGATTGTGCGCTTCTCCTCAGTGTCAATTGTAGAATAATCGTTCACAGCGGAAGAGTAATTGCGAATCAGATTGTCAGCGTATAAGCGGAACGACAATAATTTTAGTACACAGAGAACGTTGCAGAACATTATTACAAAAGCATCAAGTTTTATATATGCATCGCTGCTACCGAAAATGATTTCGAGGAACAACATGATCATCATCACGGTCTACACAGATAGAAAGTACTATTTATTATGTAAAACTTTATTACGGTTTTTCGTTTCCACTATATTCACGCAGCACCGAACGCTTCACTTAATCCATCGAACTTGATATATTGAATGTACTTCCAAATGACATAGAAATTTTATTGGAATATGTATGAAATTTTATTGTAATATGAAAATTGAAAACGTACCAAACTGAAGCCGCACGTGATAGAACGAACTAAAGAAAATGTATTATATTTTTGCAATGGCCAGACGCCTAATGGCAGAGTTAAGAGTTTGAAGGGAGTCATAGCATAGGCCACATCATCATTCCATGACATTATCTTAGTCATGTAGAGCTACACGTTCTATGCGTTGCACGATTCTCAATAATGTCGATCTTTGTCTTGTCTTTATCTTCATAATGTTAGTCGATCATCGTCGTTCGCTCTTTTACATTCATATTTTATTGAAGTTGCGCAATTTAACATTTTACTAGAGTACCCCGTTATTTTTTAAAACACAGTTATTTTAGAAACTGAACGAAACAGTTTTTTTATGTCGAAATAGAGTGGAGCAAAGATCGATTGAAGGAGGCGGTATTTCATTTTTTTTCCAGTGCTTCATCTATCATTGATCATGTTAGTATATCCTTATTCCAATACCATATTTTTATTAAAAACATGTAGAATTTAGTGCATCAATTTTTTTATAATTGGACAATAGTGTTTTTAATGTCAATATTTATATCTGCTTGATATTTACTCATATAACCAAATTTATTAAAAGTCAATTTTGCAAAATGTCTGCTATAGATTTTCTTGATAGAGAATACTATCAAAAAATAACCGAATATGTTATTACTGTTACTATTTAAATAAAAATTAGAAAAAATTTCGAATTTAAAAAAAGAGTGACAAAAAGTTATAAATGGAAACAGTTGAAAACACAATAAATTAAGATATAAACGTTTTTGTTTGTTCGCTTTTTAATTTACGCTTTCTGGAAGTTTACGCTCTGACATATCCTTTTTACATTTAACATACACTTCGAGTTTTCTCTAGAATAACAGAATATGATGATAGATTGCAGAAAACTATTAGATGTTGGAATTAATTCGTAGCGTTTTTTAATGAAAGAATGTTATTTATTTCACATGAGCATTAAAAAATACATTAATGAAAGTACTTCCCATCACTTGTAAAACACTACGAATTAATTCCAACACCTAATAACAATATTTATTATATATATGTGGTAACTATTTAAGTGATATTTATATAGTTAAATGATTAATTTTTCATTTTTGCAATCTGCTGCCGGATTATATTGGTAAAATAGTGGCAGAATTTAATACAAACGTTGATGATGACAATCTGTATTCTATACTAAAATCTGTTATCAAACTGCTAGTATATTGTAAATATTTTGATTATTCAATAGTTATTAAATTACATGCAATGATTGTATTTTCACAATCGCAAGGTACGTGCCGTAAGAAAATCGTCTTAAAGTGACGTGAGTGTACAACATGTGACGATATTTACTAAAGTAATAAAATAACTTATGTTATTTATTTTAATTTGATTATTTAGTTCTAAACATATCCTATGTATTGAAATAATTTCACAGATGATATTATCTACATCTGTACGATGTTACCTCTTCAAGCTTTTGTCTCTGAAGTTACTCTCGCGCCCTACGTTTCCACCATCACTCGTAAGATGGATAAGTATGAAAGCGAGCTTTTCAATATTGTCATGTAAGTTTTAATATTTAGAACAAAAAATCTACCCGCTAGCAATTGAACAGGTTGCTGCGATCGCATGATTACTAACAAAATGTTCCTCATCAATTTAGTTGGCAAATAATACCAGTTGGAACTGTAAATTGAGTGAGCGATTTGTTCCATTTGACACTTCATATAATCGCCCACAAAACTGTAAAAGAATAACTGTAACAGTAGACCACTCAGCACTGAAATAGTTTTAGTTATCATTACTACATCATGCGATTTCAATGCAAAGATAAATTGAAAACCTGAAAAACAAATTACATAGTTTGCACAAGTTAACCATTCTCTGACATTACTACTACAAGAATTTTGCCAGCTTTGTTCGATATTTTTATTTTATTAAAATATCACCGGGTTAGATTAAGAAATATTCTGTTTTCTCGGACATTTGACAAGATTTTAGTTTTTCATCTTTTTCTACAGAAGGATTTACACAATATTCTAGCAGTATATAATGCTCGTTTTTAATATAATAATAATAGTAGAGATATTGAATTCAAGAGAGATATTTACCAACCAAACTGAAAATAAGACAGCTACCCATGACTTGAACGAGCAAAACAAAACTTATTACATCGGCCAAAAGTTCTGCATGTTTTATTAGATAACAATGTCTTAATGCCATTGTTGAAAAATCTTCATTTATGTTTTTGTTTTTCATGTCGCAATTAATAAATTCGATTTTTAGAAGTTCCAATTGACCACAAATATGGAGAGCAATTCCGAGGAAAAGTGAATCATTGCCTTTGTAAATATATTACAATATTATATTAAATAGAGAGAGTTCATATTAAAAATTCTAATTATAGTAAAAGAATATTAGTTAATATGGAACGACCGCCCATTTGACGCCTATCGGCCGCACATCGAACGCTCTAAGAGTGTCCAATGATTGGTTGCACCAATGATCGCTCATTTGATGCCCATTTGACATCCATTATGTGCCCATTTGACGTCCATTTGGCACCTATTTGACGTCTATCACGGACGCTAAATGGACGCCAAATGGGTGTCAAATGGATGTCAAATAAACGTCAAATAGACGCTCAATGGGCGTCAAACGGGCACTATATGGGCGTAATTCTGTACAGTACAGAAAGATTACACAATTATTTTATTGCAAAATTGCAACATTACAAAAACATTGTGAAATGTTGTTGCAGTTTTGCTATAACATTGCAGAAACGGTAAAATATTCGTCTTTGAAATGTTGCAACACAATATGGCAATAATATTACAATACAATATTACAATACGTTCAGTGTTTCCAATGTTACTTTAAATGCCATTATATTAACAAATTTTAGTACATATAATTTGCAAAAATATCATATGTCTCCAAATTTTACAAATTAAATTTTATAAACAAAATAAAAAATTATATGCTTAAAATATATCCCATTTTTTGTTTTTAAAAATAATTTTGAATGTTCACTCTTTCAAGAAATCATTTCATTAGAATGAAAAGTCTCTATGGGTGAAAATTCTCATAACGCTTTTTATTCTATTTTGTGTGATTTTTTTTAATTACGAAAAGTAGAACTTCTCTTTGCCCAACTAATAGTGGTACTGCACATAGCCAAAATATAAGATTAGATAGATAACAGGATTTTTCATATTTTTGAAATGTCATTATAAGAATGCTAAATAATATTGCAAAAAAATATTTTTACGTTATCTGAAACATTGTACTGCAATATGTAATCTTGAAGCGTCGTAGCTATATTGTAAGCTTTTACAGTGCTGTAAGAAAATAGTTAATAAAATTATTGAAAGTAAAATTGTAAAAATTTAGAACTTTATAAATAAATTTTATGATTATTGATAAACACTTAAATTATTATTATAATATTAAATTATTATATTACATGTAATTCTCATTGGATATTAAACTTATTACCACAATTGGTGGTGCAAGTGATCATCAATATGGTGTATTGTAATGTAGAGATGACGAAATATAAACTGGAAGGAATATGCAAATCCTCTAAAAATGTTAAGGGCATAGGTAACTTCGATGCTTGAGTTTTGCTGACATCATCAACTTGAATATCCTTATTGCCTGCTATCATAGGCGTCAGCATAATGATTGATGAAGCCAAATAAGCAAAAAATAAAGTACTATAACAAATTATTCTTCCCATGAATGCGTGCCGCCGCATGATCGTACGCTTCTCTTCGGTGTCGATTGTGGAATAATCGTTCACAGCAGAAGAATAATTACGAATCAGATTGTCGGCATATAAGCGGAAGGATAACAGTTTTAATGTAGCAAGAATGATGCAGGATATGACCATAAGAGTATCAATTTTTACATATGCGTCACCGTTACCGAAATTGATTTCGAGCAACATTGTGATTAACATCACACTCTACACAGATAGGAAGGATGGATTCCGTATATTAGGAAGCATAATTCTTGTTTTTTGTTCTCACTAAACATTTCATTTGAATTGTCAAATTTGATATAACGAAAATACAAGTCACATTGGTATAGAAATATGTAATAGAAAAATTAAGAACATACCAAGCTGAAGCCGCACACTATAGAACGGACTAAAGAAAATGTATTATATTTTTGCAAAGGCCAAACGCCTAATGGTAAAGTTAAGAATTTGTAGAGAGTCATAGCATATGCCATATCATCATTCCATGACATTATCGCAGTCGCATAGAACTACACGATTCTCAATGTCAGTCTTTGTCCATAATGTGAGTCGATCATCGACGTGTCGCTCTTTTACATTCATATTTTATTAAAGTTGCACAATTTAACATTTTACTAAAGTACTCTGTCATTTTCCAAAACACAGTTACTTTAGAAACTGAACGAAACAGTTTTTTATGTAGAAGTAGAGTGGAAAAAGATCGAATTGAGGGAGACTTATTTTTTTCCCCAGTATTTTATCTGTCATTGATGTATTCAGTATTTTATCTGTCATGTTACAACACCCTTTATTCTAATACCAAATTTTTATTCAAAAACATATAGAATTAATGTAGAATTTAGTACATCAACTTTTTACAATTAGACAACAGTGTTATCGATGTCAACAATTATATCTGTTCGTTATTTACTCAGATAACCGAATTGATTGAAAGTCAATTTTGTAAAATGTCTGTTACAAATTTTCTTGACAGAGAATGTTAACAGAAAATAACAGAATGTATTATTACTGTTATTATAGTGAAAGTAAAAATTGGAGCACAATTCGAATTTAAAAAGAGTGACAGAATATTATAAATGGAAACAGTTAAAAACAATGATAAATTAAGATATAAACGTTTCTTTTTTGCTTCGCTTTTTAATTTTAAGATTTTTAAGTTTAAGTTTTTTAATTAAAACGCTTTCAGGAAGTATACGTTCTGACATTTTTTTTTTATTGTATATTCAACATATACTTCGATTTTTCTCTAAAATAACAGAATATGATGACAGATTGATTGCAAAAAACTAACAATATTTACTATATATTTGATAACTATTTAACTGATATTTAAATAGTTATTAAATGATAAATTTTTTATTTTTCAATCTGTTATCGGATTATATTAGTAAAATGGTGCCAGAATGAATTTAATACAAACGTCGATGATGATAATCTATTCTACTCGAATATATTATCAAATTGATAGTATTATATATTGTAAATATTTTGCTTATTCAATAGTTATTAAATTGCATGCAATGATTATATTTTCGCAATCGCAAGGCACGTGCCGTTACAAAATCGTCTTAAAATGAGTGATGCACAACATATGATGATTTACTAATGCAATAAAAAAACTTACATTATTTATTTTAATTTGATTATTTAATTCTAGACATATCCTGAAATAATTTTACAGATGATTTTGTCTACGTGTGTACGATATTACTTCTTCGAGCTATTGTCTCTGAAGTTACTTGCGCCCTACGTTTCCATCATCACTCGTAGGACGGACAAGTATGAGAGCGAGCTTTTCAATATTATCATGTAAGTCTTAATATTTACGACAAAAAATCTACCAGCTAGCAATTGAACAGGTTGCTGCGATCGCATAATTACTAACAAAACGTTCCTCATCAATTTATTTGGCAAGTAATACCAGTTGGAGATGTAAATTGAATGAGCGATTTGTTCCATTTGACATTTCATATAATCGCCCACAAAACTGTAAAAGAATAATTGTAACAGTAGAGTACTCATCACTGTAATAGTTTTAGTTATCATTACTGCATCATGCGATTTTAATGCCAAGATAAATCGAAAACCTGAAAAACACGATTACACAACATACAAGTCATCATTCTTTATTATTAGGCATTACTGCCACAAGAATTTTGCTAGTTTATTCAATAATTTTGTTATGTTATTGAAATATTAGTAAATTGGATTAGAAAATGTTTTACTGACAGAGAGCATAACTGATCCATTTGAACTTGAAAAGAATTCATTTTCTTGACTTCTTTATGAATTAGCGTAATTTGTTAGAAATGAACTTAAGAAGAATTCCTCTCTATGACAATTAATAAAGGATTCCATAAAAGTTCTTTTTACAGAGTTAAATTTAAATTAAAGAAATCCTTTTTCTGTTCGGAATGAAGAGAAAAAAATTCATTTTTGGCTTGATTATAATATATATAAATATACCTGTACAACATTATTCCCGCTACAAATTTTGATCTGCTGCCATTAGAATTGTACCGTACCTGAGTGATTGCTGCGAGCATAATAGAAAATATAAATTAATAAAAATATGTGCTGCGACAAAATATATGATATATATATACAAGAAACAATACAAAGAAACATATAATATATATATTTTTAACAACTGATTTATATTTTAAAATATTTTTTTTGTTAACCCTAGTATAATATTCATGAGTTTAATCCTATGCGATTTTGCTGTAACTTATTTATAATTTGAAGATTGAGGCTGAAAAAATTTTTAACTATCCATAGATATAATAAGTGCAAAGGTATTTTTTTACGTTATTCTCGACGTGAGAATGCATGAAAATTTAAAGAAGGATCCCCCCTCCACACACACACACACACAAAACACACACACACACACACATACACACATATGATTAGCTTGTAAGTTTTCGGCGTTCTGGATACTCGTTTATTTTTTATTCAATACGTTTATTGAGTTTTGGATAGTA